ATCTGACAAATTAAAACTTATTTTGATTGAATATATTGTTGTTTCCTTGTGTCATATAGCAGAAAAATGACTAAATGATACAGTTTATGAAAGTTTTTGTAGTGTAAGTTTATTGTTTGTCTTCTTTACTGTTTTAAAGTGTTAAGTACCGTGAACTAAGAGGAGCACAGTATACATGTAGATAGGTCAGGGATCTATGCATTATGACAATCTTCAATTGTATAGAAACAAAAAAAATCTGTTCCTACACTACTATTTAGTGTTGTATTAATGCGGTGGCATAGCATTTTTATGCCCCCGCCATGTAATGGCCGGGGCATATAGTGTTACCCGGTTCCGACCTTCCGTCATTCCGTCATTCTGTCATTCCGTCATCATCCGTTTCCGTTCATTATCTTAGTAAAGGTTTCACACATTCAACTCAAATTTGACATATGGATATGTCATGAGAAAATACAGGTCAAGTTCGAATTTGGTCATGGTTCGATGATTTTTGGCAGAGTTATGCCCCTTTTACTTTGAAAATAATATGAAATTTTCAGTTTCCGTTCATTATCTCCCCAACGGTACAACACATTCAACTCAAATTTGACATATGAATATGTCATGATAAAATACAGGTCAAGTTCGAATTTGGTCATGGTTCGATGATTTTTGGCAGAGTTATGCCCCTTTTACTTTAAAATAATATGAAATTTTCAGTTTCCGTTTATTATCTCCCCAACGGTACAACACATTCAACATAAACTTGACATATGGATGTGTCATGATAAAATACAGGTCAAGTTCGAATTTGGTCATGGTTCGATGATTTTTGGCAGAGTTATGCCCCTTTTACTTTGAAAATAATATGAAATTTTCAGTTTCTGTTCATTATCTCCCCAACGGTACAACACATTCAACTCAAATTTGACATATGGATACGTCATGATAAAATACAGGTCAAGTTCGAATTTGGTCATGGTTCGATGATTTTTGGCAGAGTTATGCCCCTTTCACTTTGAAAATAATATGAAATTTTCAGTTTCCGTTCATTATCTCCCCAACAGTACAACACATTCAACTCAAACTTGACATATCTGGATATGTCAAAGGAATGTGCAGGTCAAGTTCGAATTTGGTCATGGTTCAATGATTTTTTTGGCAGAGTTATGTCTCTTTCACTTTGAAAATAATATAGATACATCTGAGGAATAAGCAGTTTAAGTTTGAATTTGGTCGTGGTCCAATGATTTTGGACAAACTTATCTTTCTTGAATGTTGGAAAAATTTTGAACTTTCAGTTTCAGCACTCAAACTTTTGTGGAAATGTATGTAGCCATTATTTTGGCTACAAATATGAAATATGATATTTTCAAAAGGTTAAGACTGAATAATTTCAGTGCCTTGAACATTGTATGGAAATGGTTTGTGTTAACATTGAAAAGTTTTAAGGGCTTTGAACTTAAAATGGAAAAAAATAATTTGTGCAAACAAATTAGGAACTAAATATTATAACATCTGAAGGTACAAGGCTTGGAGCTTTAATATTTGTTAAATGATATCATCTATAGGTACTCTACCAAAGTTGTTCAAATTTTGCCTCTAGTGTCAAAATAGCCCCGCCCCGGGGGCCATAGGTTTTCCTTATATGTATATAGTACAAACTTAAAAATAATCTTCTCTAAATTTACAAAGGCTAGAGTTAAGATATTTTGCATGAAACATTGTGTAGTGAACCTTTAGCAAGATTGTACAAATTAAAGCCCTTGGGTCAAAATTGGCCCCACCCCAGGGGACATTGATTTTCACTATGTACATATAGTAAAAAATTAAAAATCTTCTTGTCTGAAGGTACAAGGCTGAGAGCTTTGATATTTGGTATATAATATCATCTATGGGTCCTCTACTTAAGTTGTTTTAATTATGCCCCTAGTGTTAAAATTGCCCTGCCCAAAAGGTGATAGTTTTCCTTATATGTATAAAGTAAAAACTAGAAAAATCTTCTTCTCTGAATTGACAAAGGCTAGAGATTAAATTATGGCACGAGACTTTGCGAAGTGAACCTCTACCAAGATTGTTCAAATTATAGCCCTGGGGTTAAAATTGGTTCTGCCCCGGGGGTCATTGATTTTCATTATGTACATAATTATAGTAAAAAAATAAAAAATATTTTTGTTTGAAGGTACAAGGCATAGAGCTTTGATGTTTGCTATATAATATCATCTATAGGTCCTCTACCAAAGTTGTTCAAATTTTTCCCCTGGTGTCAAAATTGGCCCTGCCCGGGGGCAGTGATTCTCATTATGTACACATAGTAAAAACAGAAAATAAAACAAATGTTTTCTGAATGGGAGAAAGCTACAGCTTAGATATTTGACTTGAAATGTTGTTTGGTGGACCTGTATCAAGATTGTTTTGAATTAAACCCTTGGGTCAAAATTTTGCCTTGCCCAAGGGGACAGTGACCTACTTTCTTGTCCTTTGATGTACAGCAATGAAATTTTGACCATGTGCACAGTTTTAGTTGTAAAATTGAACTTTGATATCAGGTGACCTAGATTTTGATGATGTGACCTACTTTCTTGTCCTTTGATGTACAGCTATGAAATTTGAACCATGTGCACAGATTAAGATGTAAAGTGAACTTTGATATCAGCTGACCTAGATTTTGACAAAGTGTCTTACTGTGTTGTCCTTTGATGTAGTCATGAAATTTAGGCTGTGTGAAATATGACCTTCACCACCAAATTCACTAGACTCAAGTGCATTGATATATTCCTACTCTGATCTTTTATTGAGTTAACAATAGATTTAACCACTAATCTGATAATAAAAATTACATGTAGATAGGTCAGGGATCTATGCATTATGACAATCTTCAGTTGTATAGAAACAAAAAAAATCTGTTCCTACACTACTATTTAGTGTTGTATTAATGCGGTGGCATAGCATTTTTATGCCCCCGCCATGTAATGGCCGGGGCATATAGTGTTACCCTGTTCCGTCCTTCCGTCATTCCGTCATTCTGTCATTCCGTCATCATCCGTTTCCGTTCATTATCTTAGTAACGGTTTCACACATTCAACTCAAATTTGAAATATGGATATGTCATGAGAAAATACAGGTCAAGTTCGAATTTGGTCATGGTTCGATGATTTTTGGCAGAGTTATGCCCCTTTTACTTTGAAAATAATATGAAATTTTCAGTTTCCGTTCATTATCTCCCCAACGGTACAGCACATTCAACTCAAATTTGACATATGGATATGTCATGATAAAATACAGGTCAAGTTCGAATTTGGTCATGGTTCGATGATTTTTGGCAGAGTTATGCCCCTTTTACTTTAAAATAATATGAAATTTTCAGTTTCCGTTTATTATCTCCCCAACGGTACAACACATTCAACATAAACTTGACATATGGATGTGTCATGATAAAATACAGGTCAAGTTCGAATTTGGTCATGGTTCGATGATTTTTGGCAGAGTTATGCCCCTTTTACTTTGAAAATAATATGAAATTTTCAGTTTCCGTTCATTATCTCCCCAACGGTACAACACATTCAACTCAAACTTGACATATGGATATGTCAAAGGAATGCGCAGGTCAAGTTCAAATTTGGTCATGGTTCAATGATTTTTTTGGCAGAGTTATGTCTCTTTCACTTTGAAAATAATATAGATACATCTGAGGAATAAGCAGTTTAAGTTTGAATTTGGTCGTGGTCCAATGATTTTGGACAAACTTATCTTTCTTGAATGTTGGAAAAATTTTGAACTTTCAGTTTCAGCACTCAAACTTTTGTGGAAATGTATGTAGCCATTATTTTGGCTACAAATATGAAATATGATATTTTCAAAAGGTTAAGACTGAATAATTTCAGTGCCTTGAACATTGTATGGAAATGGTTTGTGTTAACATTGAAAAGTTTTAAGGGCTTTGAACTTAAAATGGAAAAAAATAATTTGTGCAAACAAATTAGGAACTAAATATTATAACATCTGAAATTTTGGCTGCATGCGGGGGCATCCGTGGCATGATGACACATTTCTAGTTCTCAAATGCAATCTTGTTTTATCTACATACATTGCATCATTCCCTACATGACAAAACACCGGCACCTAACTCAAGGAGCGGTTACATGTTTAAAAATTGATATGCCAATATTGAATGGTGTCTTTAGTTAAGTGCCCCTGCACTACTTTAGTTACACTGATTTATAGGTTTATCCCAAGAGAATTGTGTCATGCATTGATTGGCACATAAATTCTGCATGCATGGCTAAATTTTAGTATTATGTAACACAAAAAATCACCATCTTGAGATGTAGTGTTTCATATATGAACCGGGTCTCTTCTGTGACAATGTCTTTCTTATTTTTAAATTGTATATTTGTAAATAGATAGGCCTTCTTTTTTATTTATAAAAGTGAAAATGTTACAAATTTTCATAATATGAGGTAGTTTCTAATTACATGTTATCTATAGGTATATGTGTACATTCTGATGTACATATACCATAAAATTCCTAATAAACGCCCCTCCCCTAATAAAGGCGCCCCCAGGCCTTTTGATACCGAAAACAATCTACTTATCAGTGCTGAACTGATAATTAAAGCCATAATTTTATTCAAATCATTCAGAATCCATAGTATTTTATAGTTAACACAAATATGTTTAATATGAACTTTAAAACCTTAACACTTTTCAATGTTATTACCAACACTTGCTAACACTAAATGTATTTACAGTGATTTTTGGATTTAGGAAAACTGTATTGTAATAATAGCCCCCCTGTTGGAAAATGTTTAGCCCCAGGGGGCATTTAATGGGAATTTTACGGTATTTAGAATATTATGAATAAACTTATATATGAAAATAAATTTATATTTTTGTACTACATTTGTTAACAAATTATGAAATATGACATTGCACAAATCTCTAATGTCATACTGGTAATTAAATTTGAGTTTTCATTTAGATTGATATGAATTAATTGTTTATTCCTTTTTTTGTAGAATGTAGCACCTTGGCTTGTGCCTCCAGGAGTAAAAAGTTTAACTTTATCGTTACACATACAGAAGGGTCCAGCAGTGTTTGTGTTTGCCCCGACCAATCCTCTCCTCACATTTAACCGATATCGTGATATGGTAAGCTGTTGCTTAGAACTATATTTTCTTTCTTTTTTTCTTGCCTCCAGATGGTGAAATGAAGCAAATGAAATAAAATTTCAAGTAATCGGTAAATACTGATCTAGTAAGGTTTTATATGTGAATGAATTAATACTGACATCTTAATTCGAGAAAGAATGGCAACAAAAGCGTCCATATATTGTGTTTTTAGCTCACCTGTCACAAAGTGACTTGGTGAGCTTTTGTGATCGCTTTTCGTCCGGCGTCCGGCCTTAAACTTTTATTTTAAACAACATCCCCTCATAAACGGCTAAGCCAATTTCATCCAAACTTCACAGGAATGTTCCTTTGATAGTGAACTTTGAAAATTGTTCAAAGAATTTAATTCCATGTAGAACTCTGGTTGCCATGGCAACCGAAAGAAAAAACTTTAAAAATCTTCTTTAAAAAAAACGAAAAAGAGCTAGAGCTTAAATATTTGGCATGAAACATCATTTAGTCAGAGTCTACCAAGTTTTGTCAAATAATAGCCATGGGATCAAATTGGTCCCGCCCGCGGGGGGGGGGGGGGGGACGGGGGGGGGGGGGGCGGGGGTCATTGATTTTCCTTATTTGTATATAGTAAAAACTTAAAAAATCTTCTTTAAAAAAATTCAAATAGCAATAGCTAAGATTTTTGGCATGAAACATCTTCTGATTGGTGTTCAAATAAAAGCCCTGGGGTCAAAATTAGCCCCACCCCAGGGGGTCATTGTTTTTCCCTATATATATATAAAGTGAAAACTTCAAAAATCTTCTTTTAAAAAACCCAAATAGCTAAAGCTTAGATATTAAGCATGAAACATCTTCTAGTGGGTGTCTACCAAGTTTGTTCAAATAAAAGCCCTAGGGTTAAAATTGGCCCCGCCCCGGGGGGTCATTATTTTTCCCTTTATGTATATAGTAAAAACTAAAAAAATCTTCTTTTAAAAAATTCAAATAGCTAGAGCTTAGAGATAAAGCATGAAACATCTTCTGGTGGGTGTCTACCATGTTTGTTCAAATAAAAGCCCTAGGGTCAAAATTGGCCCCGCCCCAGGGGGTCATTATTTTTCCCTTTATGTATATATAGTTAAAACTTAAAAAATCTTCTTTAAAAAAATTCAAATAGCTAGAGCTTAGATATAAAGCATGAAACATCTTCTAGTGGGTGTCTACCAAGTTTGTTCAAATAAAAGCCCTAGGGTCAAAATTGGTCCAGCCGCCCAAGGGGTCATTGTTTTTCCCTATATGTATATAGTAAAAACTTAAAAATCTTCTTTTAAAAACCCAAAGAGCTAGAGCTAAGATATTTAGCATGAAACATCTTCTAATAGGTGTCTACCAAGTTTGTACAAATAAGGGCCCTAGGATTAAAATTGGTCCCACCCCAGGGACCTATAAACAGGTGAGCGATTTCAGGGCCATCATGGTTCTCTTGTTTCATTTGCATAATCTACTACGTGACTAACAAAGTAAACAAGATAAATTGGAGAAGATAACTCATTTAACATGGTCATGTGTCACAACAGTGGTCTGGAAAAATTCCAGTATCAGATACGCCCGGGGTCATAAATCAATTGTCGTCATTGTGTAGGCCCCTATCCTATTTCAAGCTTAAGTTTAAATCGATAAATTGGTCATCATATTTATATGTTATAATTGATCAATTATTATTTTTAGTGCCACAAATTACAAGAATAATCAAAACAAAAGCAGTTATTTGTTTCCCTATGTGTTTGATACCATTCGGATTCTGTGCGTTCCAGACCACAGGTCGCAATTTTGTCCTTTCCATTCAAGTGGTTCTAGAAAAAAACCCAGATGAAAGAATTCAGTAGTATTATAAAAGAAGGTATTTCTTGTTGGCAGAAAAGCAAATTGTTTGTACAATTTTGAACATTTTGAAGTGTCATTTCGATTTCTTTCAACTAAATCATGTTTTTAAAGGGTGATTTTGAAATATTAGTAAGAAGGTTAACTGTTATCTTCTGGAGGCCTGCTGCTTTAAGGACGAAGCTACTGATAAACTTACATTAGTTATAATATTTTTTTTCTTCTTAATTAAGGACGTAGTTAATGATAAACTTAAGTAAATAATTGTAATGTTTCCTGACAAGATTCAGAAGCTTGGTCGCTTCACTCAGATGCCAACACATGCCTGAAATATTGCTTATGGGTAGTAATTGAATTTTTGCTTAACCAGTTAAGTTTGAAAATGGCTGTTTGCATTCTAAGCATAGAAGATAGAAAAGACCGCAGGATTATATTGTCAACATTTGTTTATTTCACTGCAGAATTTTTTTTATGTCTTTTCAGTTGGAAAATAAAATCCTTATGAGAAAAATTCATAATGTACATATACAT